AACAAAATATTGTAGATTTTGTATCATATTTTTTTTTATTTTGAGTTGTCTAGAGTTTAACATCATTTTGAATTGAAATTTATTTAGATTTGAATTAGAAAAAAAATTAGTTTTTAATTGAAAATAAATTGTTTTTTAATTGAAAAAAAATTTATAATTAAGTGAATGACTAAATCAACCTTATTAACTCATCAATCCCATAACGAGTATAATCCATTTCAACAACACTAGTTTTTACTAAAAAAAAAAAAAAGAATTCGTGTAAATACAATAATAAAGAAAATAAATTAAAATTATTATAAAAAATATGTCAACATAGTTATTTAAATCAAATATAGATCTTCATAAATTAAATTAAATAATAATTTTATACATTTCTTTTTCATACTTAAATGGCCAAAGTTACAAGATAACATTTTTTTTTTCTTTTTAGGATATCCCACTAGATAACTGAATTTGGATCTCTAGGATTAAGCACTTAAAACAAATGTTACACAGAAGGATAAGTGGTATGCAATAATGTCCAAAAATTATTGATACCATTGATTTACATAATGGAAAGATGAGCAACTGTGACAACTTGAGTTGATGGTGGCTGGAAACTTGATGTTTACAGCAATTAGAGAAAGATGAAACAATGATAGAGTTTAAAAAAATTAACAATAGCAACAAAAGGAAGAAGAATCAGTAAGTAGAAAGTGATTAAAAGATTCACTTAATCAGCAATGCAGAGTTGCAGAAGTGTCTTCATTGNCTTTTTCATACTTAAATGGCCAAAGTTACAAGATAACATTTTTTTTTTCTTTTTAGGATATCCCACTAGATAACTGAATTTGGATCTCTAGGATTAAGCACTTAAAACAAATGTTACACAGAAGGATAAGTGGTATGCAATAATGTCCAAAAATTATTGATACCATTGATTTACATAATGGAAAGATGAGCAACTGTGACAACTTGAGTTGATGGTGGCTGGAAACTTGATGTTTACAGCAATTAGAGAAAGATGAAACAATGATAGAGTTTAAAAAAATTAACAATAGCAACAAAAGGAAGAAGAATCAGTAAGTAGAAAGTGATTAAAAGATTCACTTAATCAGCAATGCAGAGTTGCAGAAGTGTCTTCATTGCTTGCTTTTTCACTACCTTCCCAAACACTTGTTTTGCCATCTTGAAAACTTTGTCCCTCTCAACAACTCCACCACTATTTTTCTTGAACTCCTCCATCACAAACTTAAGCAGCCTGTGGTCTCCTCCAACCACATCAGTGATGCTATCAACCACAGCCTCAGCAGTAGGAATCTTCCTTCCCCACCTCTTCATGGCCCTCTCTGTCCTATAAGCCTGAGAATAAGCTTCCCAAAATGATGCCCTCAAATACCCTTTCTCCTTACCCCTTACCTTCAACCTCTTCATTTGTTCCTCCAACTTGAACACCACACCCCCCACATCCATCCCTCTCTCAAGACCAATCTCAATCTCTCTTATTTCTTGTTTCGGGAACACTTCCCCCTCAAACCTACACCTCTTGCACTTGCAATGAATACACCAATTCACAGACATCTCCTTCCTCTTGCTCAAACCACACAAAGGGTCAAAATAAGCAAAAGTCACCTCCTCCCCAGCCTTCAAATCCTTAGAAGCATGAACCACCAAGTAGTCCCCAACATGCAACCTCCTTGCATTGGGACAACATGAGTGGTTTATCAAGGAAGGGAGCAGCCACAGGCCAACACCGTAATAATCATTGCCCCTCCTCAACACATTGGCCGAAACAGCATCCTCTGTCAGAGAATTCACATCCAATATACCAACCAACTTAACCATATCAACATCAACCTCAACTTCACCATCCTTCTCCACATTCTCAGGTCTAAAGAGACCCACATCAGGCACCTCAAGTTCTTCCTCATTCTCCCCACTTGACAACCTATTAATCAAACCCCTTGTTCTCGGACACTTCCCAACAAACTCAAAAACCTTGTCAATGAAATTCTTCCACATTGCCAACTGTGCATCCTCACTCAGATCCTGAACACCTCCCATTATGATACTCCTTTCCATGGCAATTGCCTTGGTGACCAAGATCAACGACCCAGCATCAATATTCTTCGTTGCAAACAATCCTCTCCCACTGATCTCAGATCTTCTAATCTCCACGGCACCAATGTGCTCTGCAAGCTCTGGAAGCTTCCCTCGAAACCCATTTGAAACCCAATCCGAAAGATCCAAACACCCGGTTTTGGACAAAAGCTCCAAACTTTTGCACCTCTCCAAGTACCCACTTACGCTTTCAGCGTTTCCGTCTAGCGTGGCGGTTCTGAAGCACTCAAGAGCGGAAGNACTCTAGTGTTTTAGGGCAAATCGGAGGTAGTGAGGTAGCGATTTTGGGCATTGGAGATCTTGTGTGTGTTTGGGCTGTTTGGGTAGCTCAGATAGGTCAATTTTGACTTGCTAGGAACATAAAACTAGACTACAACATGTTAGAAATGGTAGAATTGGAATTGAGCCCCTAAGTTGAGGAAATTAGTGTTTTAAGAAGGAATTTGGGTCTTAATCAATTGATAATCACTATGTAAATGTTTATAATCATCTAGACAAGTTTAATTAGGTGTAATACAGGAATTAGGGGTGTTAGAAAGTGGATAAGAGGCCTAGAAATGGTAACGACGTGTGTGAGTGCCTAATTCTGTAGAATTTGCGTTCTGTAGAGGATGCAGAGTCGCTATGCGAGCTGCCTTGCATAGCGAGACCCTGTGGAGGGTGGTCACTGTCTAGGTTATTCGTTGTGCGAGCTGGTGCGCCGTGCGAATGACCAGAGGGTGTTGTTCTCTGTTTATGGATTCGTCTAGCGAATCTTGTCACTATGCGACTGGTGATGGTCTGGAACAACTATTATTTTAATTTGAAGGGCGAGTTTGGGCGCATAGCGATTCTTTGGGAGGGGTAGTCTTTGTCTAGGCTCTCGCATAGCGACCTGGGTGCGCTATGCGAGAGGTTGGAAGTCTGGTGCATGCTGCGATTTAATTCGCTATGCGAATTAAGGGGTGCGCTGTGCGAGATCCTCTTGTCTCGCCTTGCGAATAGGGTGCGTTGTGCGAATCCTCCGAGTCCAAAGTTCTCTTTTGCTCCTGTTTTGGTTGAATTAAGTGTTTGGAATGTTGGAATTCATAGTATGATGGTGGTAATGTGATTATATTGAAAGTATGTGAGTGTATGAGACATGTTTGGTGATTGAAAGTATGTGGTTTTAAAAGTATGGTTGATGGACGTAATTCCATGGATCTCAAAGGAGGTTACATGGTGGTGTCTTATGTTATTGGACGTAATTCCATGAATCTCAAAGGGAGGTTACATGGTGGTGCCCTATATCATTAGACGTAATTCCATGATCTTCAAGGAGAAGATTCATGGTGGTGCCCTTAGTGTTTAGAATGATTTGCATGGTAGCTCAGTCTTGGGGGTTTTCCTGACGCTCCAATGGTCTTTCATTCTCAAGTAGAGAGGATTGATCCATGTAGTGAGGAGTAGCAGGAGGTCCTAGTCTTGGGTGCTTCTAGTATGGCCCAAGGTGAGTGATAACGGACTGACCTCGTGAGTGTGGTAGGGTGAAACCCATTGGCAATGACTTTGCAAAGCAGTAGAGGCCACCATGAGTGCATGACCCGCCATAGCTCGGCAATCATTCCAAGTCCGGACGAGTCAAGTGTAAAGTGTAACAAGTGGTGTTGTATGGTTCATTAACTTTGAATTAAACTTGCATGTTGTATGTGATTGTTATAACATGATTTTTGTATATCTAGCTCACCCTTACTTCTGTGTTTGTGTTTTGCTTGGGTATGCTTTTTTTTTCAATGACCATCCACTTGGATGCGAGCAGAGGTGAATGAAGTGCCTTTGGAGCAGGCTTTGGAGGGAGATGATGTTGCTGCCTAGTTTGTTTAGGAATTTCTTAATTGAGTTATATTGTTTTGAAATACTTTGTTAAGTAGGAAGTTTTTAAATTATGGCTTATTTTGGATGACTGTAAGCTTAACAACTTATTTGCAAGTCTACTCTAACTGTTCTGTTATATTAAAATGTGGACCTGCTACATTATATTTCTATATAATCTGGGATGTTACACTATCTACAAAATAAATAAAAAATATTTACAATAAAATTATAAAATTATTTTTATTTAATTTTATAATTATAATAGTAATAATAATTTTATTATTTCTTATTATTATGAGAAAAAAAAAAGTAAACATGTGATGTGTCAAAATGGATTGGAATCCATGAAATAATCTAGTTTATCAGGAGTTTGGGTCGAGTTAAGTTGAATTTTTTTATTTAAATTTGGCGTACTAAGAACCTAACTCATTTAGGTTGAAACTGTGGTAAGTCAGATTGGTTCACCAAATCACCTAATTTTTTTAATTTATTAGTTAACAATCATTTTTATTTGTATGGTAGGTAGAGATAAAGAAGAAGATACTTCAAAACAACAAAATATTGTAGATTTTGTATCATATTTTTTTTTATTTTGAGTTGTCTAGAGTTTAACATCATTTTGAATTGAAATTTATTTAGATTTGAATTAGAAAAAAAATTAGTTTTTAATTGAAAATAAATTGTTTTTTAATTGAAAAAAAATTTATAATTAAGTGAATGACTAAATCAACCTTATTAACTCATCAATCCCATAACGAGTATAATCCATTTCAACAACACTAGTTTTTACTAAAAAAAAAAAAAAGAATTCGTGTAAATACAATAATAAAGAAAATAAATTAAAATTATTATAAAAAATATGTCAACATAGTTATTTAAATCAAATATAGATCTTCATAAATTAAATTAAATAATAATTTTATACATTTCTTTTTCATACTTAAATGGCCAAAGTTACAAGATAACATTTTTTTTTTCTTTTTAGGATATCCCACTAGATAACTGAATTTGGATCTCTAGGATTAAGCACTTAAAACAAATGTTACACAGAAGGATAAGTGGTATGCAATAATGTCCAAAAATTATTGATACCATTGATTTACATAATGGAAAGATGAGCAACTGTGACAACTTGAGTTGATGGTGGCTGGAAACTTGATGTTTACAGCAATTAGAGAAAGATGAAACAATGATAGAGTTTAAAAAAATTAACAATAGCAACAAAAGGAAGAAGAATCAGTAAGTAGAAAGTGATTAAAAGATTCACTTAATCAGCAATGCAGAGTTGCAGAAGTGTCTTCATTGCTTGCTTTTTCACTACCTTCCCAAACACTTGTTTTGCCATCTTGAAAACTTTGTCCCTCTCAACAACTCCACCACTATTTTTCTTGAACTCCTCCATCACAAACTTAAGCAGCCTGTGGTCTCCTCCAACCACATCAGTGATGCTATCAACCACAGCCTCAGCAGTAGGAATCTTCCTTCCCCACCTCTTCATGGCCCTCTCTGTCCTATAAGCCTGAGAATAAGCTTCCCAAAATGATGCCCTCAAATACCCTTTCTCCTTACCCCTTACCTTCAACCTCTTCATTTGTTCCTCCAACTTGAACACCACACCCCCCACATCCATCCCTCTCTCAAGACCAATCTCAATCTCTCTTATTTCTTGTTTCGGGAACACTTCCCCCTCAAACCTACACCTCTTGCACTTGCAATGAATACACCAATTCACAGACATCTCCTTCCTCTTGCTCAAACCACACAAAGGGTCAAAATAAGCAAAAGTCACCTCCTCCCCAGCCTTCAAATCCTTAGAAGCATGAACCACCAAGTAGTCCCCAACATGCAACCTCCTTGCATTGGGACAACATGAGTGGTTTATCAAGGAAGGGAGCAGCCACAGGCCAACACCGTAATAATCATTGCCCCTCCTCAACACATTGGCCGAAACAGCATCCTCTGTCAGAGAATTCACATCCAATATACCAACCAACTTAACCATATCAACATCAACCTCAACTTCACCATCCTTCTCCACATTCTCAGGTCTAAAGAGACCCACATCAGGCACCTCAAGTTCTTCCTCATTCTCCCCACTTGACAACCTATTAATCAAACCCCTTGTTCTCGGACACTTCCCAACAAACTCAAAAACCTTGTCAATGAAATTCTTCCACATTGCCAACTGTGCATCCTCACTCAGATCCTGAACACCTCCCATTATGATACTCCTTTCCATGGCAATTGCCTTGGTGACCAAGATCAACGACCCAGCATCAATATTCTTCGTTGCAAACAATCCTCTCCCACTGATCTCAGATCTTCTAATCTCCACGGCACCAATGTGCTCTGCAAGCTCTGGAAGCTTCCCTCGAAACCCATTTGAAACCCAATCCGAAAGATCCAAACACCCGGTTTTGGACAAAAGCTCCAAACTTTTGCACCTCTCCAAGTACCCACTTACGCTTTCAGCGTTTCCGTCTAGCGTGGCGGTTCTGAAGCACTCAAGAGCGGAAGCATACCGGTTGAGGCAGAGCAAGATCTTACCTTTGCACAAAAGGGTCTTCGAATGCGTGGCATCGAGTTCCAAAGCGTGGTCACAGTCCCGAAGGGCGCAGTGGAAGTCCTTCAACTTGGACCTCGCTTCTGCGCGATTGCACAAAGCTATGCAGAGGGATCTGCGAAGCTTTTGGTTTGGGAGAGAATGGGAGAGCGTTTGGGTGCAAAGGGTGATGAAATGGGAATAGGCTTCGATCGAGGCATTCCATTCTTCTCTGATGAAAAGCTCCGTGGCTTTGGATCTGAGTTGTTGCAACTGCTCATCTTCTTCTGCTGCCATTTCCAACTCCGGCTTTTTGGTCTATCAACAGCAACCCTTTGGCATCTCTTTTCAAATGGAGTTCCCTGTTTCAAAATTTTTCCCAGTGTAACGGTCGTTTAATTTCACTTATTCTTTTTCTCTTTTTCTTTTCACTCTTTAGCATTTGACGTTGAAAAATGCAAACCAACCCCTCATGATTCGTGAATATTAATTTAGTTTAGGAAAATGATAGATTGAATATTAAATTTTTATAACTTTTTACACATATTGTGTGGCATATATTTTCATTTTTTTAATTTCTTTTTTAAACATTCCACGTTGAAAATAGGAGAGTAGAGTGAGAAAAACACATTCATTTAAAAATTAAAGTATTTTAAGTTTTTCGAAGAACCTCCCTTAAACCCTCTCTTTTTTTAATGTGAAGACCCTTGTTAGTGTTTGATGGTTAGATACTCATATTAAATAATAATACTTCATTATAATTTCTTTAACTACTTACAACATATTTGATTATTCGTTTTAGATATATTATTTTTATTATTTTTATTTTTTATTATTAGTTAATTTGTTATTAATTTTTATTTATATTTTGAATTTAATCCATATTTCTTTTATTATAATATGTATATATTCAATTTAAGAGAGATAATTACCTACATAGTTTTCACTATATTAACATGGTATCTAGAGTTTAAGGTTCTTTTAAAAAAAAGATTTTTGTTACTTGAAAGAGATATTTTCACTAAGTTTTTATGGATTATATTAGTAAAAAACTTGGTACATACTATTTGTATGCACTAGCTTGAGGAAGAATGTTAAATATATTATTTTTATTTTTTATCTGTTTACATCCTAGGTTTTTGTTTTCAGTATTTCATTCTCTAGTTCGTTGTGTAGAGTTTTCGTCCTTATCATTTCCTGTTCTACATTCACTTACGAAACAAGGAGAAAGACGCGTCAAAGTTTGAAATTTATAGATTGATCTCTACCATATTTATTGCTCGAATCACTACCAAAAGTGGGAGAAATGTGCCTATGCCATTATTGTCACCGTTGTCTGTTTTGTCTCCACCTCCTTTCTTAAAAGTGCCTTTTGATGGCCAACTTCAAGGGTGTTTGAACAACCATACTCTAGATGCAGTGAGTGGAAACAGAAACTCAAAGTAATGATGTACTGGAAAATGGGAGAATGGTGAAGCAAGAGATGAAGAATGGTGCGTGTATGGTGCTAATGGATCTGTGCAACCAACCTGACTAAGGAAGGAAGCTAGAGAGGACTGAAAAGGACCCAGGGTGACACTCAAGTAAGAAAGAAGCTGGAATAATCTCAACAAAGCTTCAAAAGTGGCTAATACAAAGAGTGATGAATTTATAGTGAATTCAGGCCCCTTGCACGAGTAACAACCATAGTTGATCATCTGCTACACCCCATAGATCATAAGATAATTGGAAGCATGTTTCTAATGTGTTTATACACATATACACAAGGCATTAAAAATGTGGCCCTTCTAGAGTATCATTGGCGTTGGGCGCAACTCTCTTGTGTTGGGTGCATGCAGTCCATAATGTTAAATGTGAAGAGCATGTGTCTTTCGTTAGGCGACTCTCTGCTTGCGCTGAGAGATCCTTGATAACAGTTGAAAAACTGTTATTTTTATACTTAATTTTGATAATCAATCAACCCTTTTTGACTTAGAAACTTGCTTTAACTCATGTTTTTGCTTTAGTTTTGTGAATAAGAGAGTTGAAGGTGAATTTAATGGTTTTTTGCTAGATTCCTTTGATTTTGTAGGTTATTGGAATGATTTGAAAGAAGAGTTAAATTACCGAATGGTTGGAATGCAGAAAAGTCAACCAGAAACCAGAAAAGTCAACCAGTCAACCAGAATGCAGAAAAGTCAACCAGAGTGCAGAAAAAGTTGCACTGAGCGAATATTACCGCTGAGTGCCAGTTTTCAGGTGCTGAAATCACCGTTGAGGGGCAAAACAATAGCTGAGGGGCAAAAGAGTGACCCTTATTCCCGTTTGAAATTTAACACAACGACTAATCTTCTTAATCTTTGTGTTAAATTTTGAATTGTCCGTTGGACAGTTTGAGATATATGTAATTAGAATTTGCAATAAACATGTAAGTTGGAGTCTATGGATAAGATTGATAAACTTTCGGTTCAGTATTTGTGTTGTTCTTCGGATGCATATTTGATTGTGGTCATTGTTGACTACTCTCATTTCGTGTATTTCGGAGACCAATGCGAAATGCTACCGAAGTTTTATCAAATTTATGATGTAGACTTCTTTGCCGTGTCTTAGAAAATTATGAAAATAATTTTGAATGGGTAGGGCCTCACCTTGTGAGAGTTAAAAACTTACACTGATGATTTGACGAACATAGAATGGATCGAAGCTGGATGAATAACGTCACATCAGTGAAGAATATGATAAGGGTGTTTCGAAGTTCTTGCAATATGTTCAACAAAATGCTGAGTGTTTCTCTAAAAATGACTTTGAATTTGATGTTCCCCTTAAACTTTTATTGATAAAAAAAAAAAAAAAAAATAAATTTTGTTTTTAAAGCTTATTTTATGATAATTTTACTTGTGTTTTTAATTGTCCAGAGTTATTATTGGTAAATCTCGAGGTCAACTAGTTCAAATTTTATATCCAAAGGTTGATCTGTATTTATAGTTCTAATTCATTTTCTATGTATGAATGATCTATAAATTATTGACGATTAGTGCATCATTTTAGTGTAACAGCAGCAGGAATTCATGGCGAATGTGGCTTCTATGTGATGTGTTGGATTAAGACATCTTAGAGCGGTCATTACAGAGACTGGAATGAGGTAATGATGCCATACCTGGAATACATTACAAATCAAATTCATCTTTAACATATATGAAAACCTAATGAATCGTTCTTTCAATTTGCAGCGCTTCAAGAGTACATCTCCTATACAGAGGATGAAACGATTAGGCAAATAAGACAGGAGTGGACAACTTATCTTCTGCAAAGATGGAGTTAGGAACAATTTATTTGTTGTTGAACATTGATTAATTTTAGTTTTTTTTTAAGTTTATATATTGATAGTTTTGTATTGGATGATTTTGTACATAGTAGAACTTTCTTTATATGGAAACGCAAATATAATATACTATATATGTTTCTGGGCGGGATTTTTTCTGTTTTTTAGGTGTGGTTTTAATGCAAAAATAAATTGATTTTTAAAAAAAAAACGCCCAGTAGACGTCGGTTAGTGCACACAAACGGACGTCTATAGACGTCTGGCAGTGCACAAACGACGTCCAAAAACCCGTAATCCCTAAACAACCCATTCAACCATATAGACGTCCGGGGTGGCTTCATTGGACTTCTATATAGATGTCGGGCCTGACACAACAGACGTCTATATAGACGTTCGACCTGACACAACAGACGTCTGACTAACGTCACCCACAAAGACGTCGGGTGTAGGTCGGACGTCAAAAAGCCAAAACAACAAACGTCTAAAGCCCTTTCTGCACTAGTGTTTGCCATTGATAGAGAGCTTTGTTGCTGCCATTGTTGTTGTGGTTGGTTCTCAAATTGTCCGGTAGCTTGTCAAAATTGACTTTGATCCATGCTTGAGTGAGATTCCCTCCAATGGTTTGAAAATACTTTGGTAGAATGAGTGCCCATAATAGTTTAAATTCTTGTTCGTATTGCATCTGCAAGCATTAGGCACAAACCCTAGAAAACATTTGTTAGCAAAAAAATATAAAAGATAAACTAAAAAGATAAAAAGATAAAATAAAAAGGATAAAATAAAAGATAAAAGATAACAATCAAGTCAAAGTTAATCAATAATCACACAAATAGAATATTTCAACCACGAGTTCCCGACAACGGTGCCAAAAACTTGGTTTGGACCTCGACAAGTATAACCGAATCGTATCAAGTAATAAACTGGTAAGGACCAAGTATCATTCTCCCAAAGGACTCTCGGCCTAGACAGTTATGTGATTTGTTGATTATCTAAGACTTGTATAACCAATTCTTGTAAATTTTAAATGCAAAATACTGAAAAGTAAATATGAATGCATGTATTGATCAATGGGCAAGAAGAAATAGAACACGTGGTATGAAATATATGAATGAATATGTTGTTGGGGTTTATCAATTTCTTTCTATCCACTCTCATGTATTCTAGAATTCATCTTTCTTCATTAATTTTTAATGCCACTTTCTAAATTACATTAAACCCGATGTCTCGGCGAAAAAAGCCTAATCATAATCACTAGTTTACAATGTCTTGTATCCCTAGCAATCTCATGCATTATAAAAGACACAGGAAGCTTAAAGCAACCAAACCATCATACTCCCGATGTCTAGGTTTATACTCTATTGGAGAGAGTTCCCCATATCAGATTTCCCCATATGTGTCCATATCGACAAAATCAATATCATGACTCAATGAGTTTTAAACAATGCAAGCTTAGAGTAAAGAGGAAAAACCCTAACAATTAATGAAAGAAAGCATGTATCTTTAAAAGATCTTGAAGAACAAATTCAATACATGAGAGCTTCAAGGATTACATTGATTCCCCAACAATAATAAAGGCTTTTAGTTTAGTTCACCATATTCATGGTGATGAAAACTAGATGAAATAAAATACAAGAAGGAGTGAAAGATAAACCCTAAAAGGTGAGAAAGGAGCTTTGTTTGTGGGTAGCATCCAAAATCCCATCCAAGGGGTGAAAGAGTGATGAAAGAGTGTGTTTCTCTTCGTTACAGCCAAAGATGTGAACCTAGGTCGACTAAAACCTTATATAGTATTCTAAAAATTACACAAAAGTAAGCCCAAGCCCATAAAAATGGCGCTCAGCGATATTTACCGCCGAGCGGTAAGTGTGTGTCTTCTAT